CTAACTCTTAATAAAGCCACGAATTTCCCCTCATAAATCTCGCACAAATGGTCACTTATTAGACAGTAGCAGCGTAACACAGATGGACGTGAACACCGACTCTGAATGCTTCGAATGAGGTTTACTTCAAAAAGGTTTGGCATGGGGCAAAAAATAAAATTACAACTGAAAGAAAACAAACAAAAACTGTTCAGTTTTGGCTCATTGAACCAAAGTCGCCACATTCTGTGATTAAATCTATAATATTAACCAAGAAAATGAAACATTAAGCTAACATGGAATTACTAAAAAATGCAGTTTCCTTGTAGTTGTCACTTTAGGCTGGCTCAGGAAGTTAGTTAGTCCACATTGACTCCCATGTTAACATTTAGAGCAATAGAAAGCCTGCTTAGAGCCTGGTACAAAGAGGGGTTTTGAGTCAGTTGTTTTAATAACTCTTACTGTGGATTATTTGCATCCTGACCTTGTTCAATGCCATTTAGAGCAACTTTATTGGCATAAAGGAACAATTGATAAAGCCTGGTGAGTGGTACACCCCATCCAAGAAGTTTGTGGCTCACACTGTTACTTAGCACCAACACCAGATGTGGATGCAGCTGGCTAACCAGCCTGCTGGTTTATGCTGATAAGTTGGCGCCTGATCGATCAAATACGGTCACCTCTGGCTCCAAAACAGCAACGCGGTAGCTTGGAAAACGCTGCCGCTTAAAACTGCCGGATCTAAAACTAGTATATAATATCACAGTGGCCACATCCATTTTTAAAATACAGTCTATTAATTACACAGAGTTGCTGAATTGAACTTCAAGACAGAATATTGGAACAAAACTGTGAAAAGCTGTATTCTTAAATAAGGTTGGTATAGGTGATATCCTCTAACATAGCAGTGAGGCACATGTTTGCAGTGACAGTCTTCCACTCATTAGAGCACCGAATGTGTGTGGATCCACTGCTGGAAATAGACCCAGACATATACAGTATGTGCTAAGACCGACTATTTTAGGAAATCCACAGCCTCATTTAAAAATCTTGTCTTTTTGAGCTTTTTGAACTTTTATCCTCCAGGTGTATTTGACCTTTTCACAAGACCGACAATTAAAACATCACCATAAAAACACACTTGGTCTCTAACCAAAGTATTTTCATGGTAAACCAGTTGAAAAGACACTCAGCTAATGAAAGTCACAATTGGCTGTTTTGATACAATGAAAATCTTGTCAGATTTCATCGACTGCGCTTTTGTCTCTCGGTGTAAGCGTTGCTATAGTAAACAAGAGTATGATGGCATTGCTTTGTGTCGTTCATCATCAAGGTTATTTTCTGTGGCTCCCAATCAAAGCCAAGGAGAGCCGAGCACAAAGACGCTTTCACACCCCGGCCTCATTATCACTGCTCTTGGCTTGCACGTATTCCGTCTTTATCTTTCACAGCTTCCATCATATCTTCATTTAGAGTCGTGCCTTTCAATTACCGGGGAGCCCTAATGAACAGCAGACACCCTCAGTGGAGACGTTGTGGACAGGCCAGCTCATTAAGGCTGATGAGTCAGAGGGCAAATAATGATGATCAAGGTTGTCTGCAGAGTCGGATCACCTCGTTCGAGTCTGACTTCAAAGTGTGGGACTGTCTCAGTCTTTGTTCTTTGATTTGACCGTGGAGTATCCACCGGTACCTCCAATAATGCCGCATTGCAGCTCGCGTGTTTTGGATGGTGAATTTATAAATTAAGCTGTTTTTTATCGCCCTCCTTTCTTACAAGTTCTCGTGACTTTTATAATGTAATTAGTAGATCTATGGAGCATTTTTGTGATGTGTTGTAACCCAGCAGAAAGTAACTATGACATGTCAATATGTTTGGATACAGCTAGAAGAAATCTAACATAATGAGCTCTTTTGTGGTGTTATGGTGCAGGGGTTAACACATTTGCCTTACATGTAAAAGATCCCCATTTTAAGACTGGGAGGAGGCACAAACCGAGCCTCAGGGGGGTCACAAGATAGTATTCCTTTAGGAAAGGCATCCGGGGTCAAACCTGTGCCAAATCAAACATGCAAATCCACTGTGGCGACTAGTTGGGAAATGAGGGAGCAGCTGAAAGTGTCAGCAGCACTGCTACAAAGCCCTGTAGATATTTTAGTCCCACTGCAGTCCTCCTTTTGTGTTTAGCAGTGATCATGTGGTAAATGTTTGTCTTTTTGCATTACAACTGTTTAGAAGGCCAAACATCTTCATTCATCCTTGGCAAGAGACGCTCACAGTGGTGCACGCTGCTGTGACAAGTGAAACAAGTCAGATAAAATCTTCAGCAGTTTTTCTTTCTGAAATTCATGGAATAATAAGTAAATGTTTAAATTTCATCATTTTAGTGGACTAAGAATCAAAACCTGCACATTATCTTTATCAGGGACCTAGCTGACTTTTTAATAAACCCTTAACACAGGGATCATTTCTCTAAAAGAAGACGCTTTAGTCTTATAAATATGAACCGCTGTTTCAAATTAACAAAAACCTCTCGTTCAACTTTAAAGCTAAATTCAAATTTTACGACGTCTTGTTGAGTCAAAAGTAACTAGATTTGATGAAAAGCAGCAGCAGGTGTTCGGTCTCCTGCAGATCAGAACGGAGCAGAACCGAATATTGAAACTCATGAACGGCATCCACTTTAGTGAAAACTGCTCTACCTATTAGCCAAAGTCTAATAGCTTCGTGTTTCTCAGTCTGCTACACGTCTTTCTCCCCTCTGTGAGTTTCCAACCCTTAATAAATTAGATGATCTCACAGAAAACTTCCCCCAAAAGTTCTCTGGGAGACACACGCAGCATAAGAAAATATATATGTCGCTGGATCTCTTCAATTCAACTCAGTTACATTTTATTTAAATTGCACCAAATCACAAAAACTGTTGTCCCAAGGTGCTTGGATCTCACAAAACAACCCTTTCCTGCTGCTTTCTGTGACATCACTAAACCTGATAAGTTTATGGTCTCGGCTGCCAGTTTCAGGCTGTGTTCAGCACAACATAACCTCCTAATTATAACAGCTATCAGTCAAAAAGGATCAACGGGATGCTTTAAGTCAGGCTCACACATGACCATCACTGCCCATCTAGTTTCACAGTTTGGTTTCAAAAAAGCAAGATGGTGACAGCAAAAATGGTAAAGTCAGTTCAACACTAGACTTCTCTAACTAATGAGTGATGGTACGGTGGCTGTCTTTTGTATTGGCAGCTCGGCTGAACTGTGGAGCTAAGTCCAGTTTTCTCCATGAGATTATCAGTAATGTAATGACCGGCAATCATGAATGTCAGCGATCCCAAGTTAAACCTTTCTGACCTTTGAGATGGGTGACTGGAGTGACTGCTACCGACTAACACGCGAGGGGGCGGTAAATAGATTATGGGGTTTCCTAGGCAACTGAATCTTGCAACCTTCACTTGGGATCAATCATTAGATGTGGCTTCATCCTCCCACAGGTGAAGGCGATCCTGAAACCTGGCTTATTTTCTGTGAGACCAATCATGATGTGACTCATTGACTTTTATTTTCAGGAAGTGTGAAATGCAGCAGCACAGGTTTAGCGGGCAGTCTTCTTCTCTCGGAGGCCTTTCAAGGACAGATTCAGTCTGAAAAACCATGTTAGAAGGAGTACACGGTGTTCTGTGTCTGAGCAAAGACAATGAAATCTTCAAATAATAAGAGAAAACTTAAACAATCCTCGTGGGCAAACTGAGCCCATTCAGCAGCAAATTAAACAAACCGCAAAAAAGGAAATGTAATTTAAATGATAATGGGTTTAAACGCTGCACCATTTGTATTATAATAATTTCATAAGTTGAGGTAAGAGTACGAGGGATTTATAACGAGCAGCTCCTTTTAAAGACTCAAGATGCTTTTCAGTTCTTATAAGTGGGTGATGCAAGTATTGCCACAGCGGGGCAAAAAGGGGGTTGACACTGAGAGTAAAGCAGGAAAAGATGAAAAGGGAGCTTTGCAAAGAGATGGTGGAGGAGGTGGTGTGGCATCAGTATTAATGTTAATGTCAGACTGATACTGCAATACATGTCATGTTGAAAAAGTCACAAATCTGACTCATGAATGCGCCGAAATGCCACTTTGTACCATTTGAAATCATCTCGATTGTGCGCCGTCTTTTCCTTTTTCTGTGTTTTTTTCTCCTTTTTTAATCTTGTAAAGAAGTAGAAAGCGAGGCTCATGTCAGTGCAACCACGGAACAGAACTCAATTATGAGTTTTTCATTGTGTCAGCAGAAAGCGTCTAAAAAGCTGCTCCGTGCTGAGGGAATCCTGATTTCACAGCCGCCCACATGCTCCGGTTCTGTGGAGCTCACACTCCTCTGGCTCCCAGCGGGGCGCGCGGGATGAATACCGGATTATTACGTTCACGATGATGCAGGATGTCGGCGAGAGCGTGACAGGCAGGAGGAGATATTTTTAATGTAAACTTGTTAAGTCAAGGAGGTGAGAGAAACAGAGGCGGCGTGAGAGGAGCGAGTGCATTATTTATGTATGAGTGCGCTTATTCAAGCTGAGAGAGAAGCGTCTGTTAATGCTGGTAAACATAATATACGTGACTTACCCTACTTATTTCCAGCTCGTTATTTCTGTTGTTGGACTCCACTACAGTAGCTTTGTATGATTCAGTTTACTTTGAGCCTTGCTGCACTCTTTTAGTTTGACGTCTGTGTGAAACAAGCTGCTTTAGCTCCGCTCCCTTTATGCCAACTTTGGTGTTCTGACTGGCCTGTGTCAGGAGGACTAGTTATCATTGGGTCAACCTCCCCCCAACCAAACAAACCCTCAACCAGTTTCACAGCAGCTGCCAGTATCAAGGAATACACGTTTTAGTGACCAGTGGTTGCCAGCCGCTTGCCAACTGGTTTTTAGACCTTTATAAAATAAGAGCAGTTCATTTGACTGACTAGTGTTTCTATCAAAAGCAGCAATAGTTAAGATTCAAGATTCAAGAGCTTTATTGTCAAGACAGCAGTATACACAGTATGCTGTTTATATTTATAAGTGTATAAAAGATATATCTCCAAGAGATATATAAAACTAGGAATTACAAATAATTAACATGCTAAATTTCAGTAGAATTAAGGGCTAAAAAGGTACTAATTACTAACTATACCGTACTATACAGTACTATAATGATAACTATACAATACTAACTGTACAATAAACAAAGACAGGACCGAGACTATACAAAGGGGATTGTGCAGTAGGTATTGAATACCAGGTTCAAGTCATTACCAGGATATTGTAGACGAGTGAGGACGAAGACATGTGCAAGATGCAAAATGTGCAAATATAGTATAGTTTAGATGTGTGCTCAGTAATGTGACTGAGTGTGCAAGTAAGCATATTGTTCTCAGGTCCAGTTTGTAGTGGATTTGTGAAAGTTTTTGTTGTTTTTGAGTCTTTTGTAAGGTGTTTGTAAAGGTGTGTATCAGTCCTTTGGTGGGAGTGAGCTGAGGGCTCTGACTGCTTGGGGGAAGAAGCTCTTGCAGTGCCTGGTCGTTATGGTTTTGATGCTGCGAAACCGTCTGCCAAATGGAAGGAGGGAGAACAGCACACGTGAGGGGTGGAAAGTGTCCTTCACTATGTTGTTCGCATGTCAGATGATGTGTTTGTTGTAGAGTTGGGAGATGGGTGGGAGAGGGTGATCCTCTGTGCTGTCCCCACTATCCGCTGCAGAGACTTCTTTTGCAGTTCCCGTACCAGATAGTGATGTAGCAGCAGAGGACGCTCTCGAAACTCCATCCCTGGTATAAACATCCATTCAGGCCCAAACTGAAAAAGGTTCAGATCTTTGGATGAAACATAACTGGAACATTTTTTTGGGCAGACACTCAAATTTTAACACATTTTCCCCTCGTATTCCTTAATTTCACTACCACCAGCTACAGTGAGAGACCTATAACAGAAAAACAAGGGCTTTAGATTATTATTTAAATATAGTTTTAGTTTATACTGATGGAGAAAACTCTTGAAAACTGAACAAACTTTAACAAAAAGCTTTGAACAAAGTTCACATATTTGCAGCCATAAGTGGTTGATAATTTTGAGACCCATATTTCTGTTACAGACTTGGGTGTCGTGCAGCTTGTTTCACATACACATAAATTCAGATGCAGGCTAATTTATGTTTAGTTAAGTCAACACAAAGGTCTGGACTGAAGCTATGGTTGAGCTATTTCTGATTTTTTTTTATGGGGGTGAGGTTTTCCTTACTGAATGAATCATAAATCTGTAAATGAACTGAAGCAATTTCTGTGTTTTGAGTGCTTAAAGTACTAAAAGTGACTGTGGACGTCAACCTTGCAGCTTTTCAGCAGCATCACAGCCTAAACTGCTTCATGAGTTAGAGTCAGATTTAATCCCAGAGGATTACATCAATCCAGCTGTGTTCAGGGATCAAAGGAGCCCCAAATTAAATTATTTCTCAGCGGAAACAGTGTGAAGTAGGAAGGCAGCGCGGAAAATCCTATTTTACCCCAAGTGTGTCTGTGAGTGTGAGCAAGAGAAAGGAGTCTGTGCTGCATCTGCAGGATTATTAATGTTTGGCGCCACCTAGCGGTTATGCAGATTTTGCGCAACGACTTTCTCGTGAATGACCAAATGCAAGGCATATTTCTGCTTCTTGAAGATTTGAATATTTGTTTACTAATTTAAACAATCAGCATTTGCACAACAACAGAAGGCTCGAGTCTCAAAATCATTTGGGTTTGACTTGATTTGGAGGGCAAAGATAAGAATCCCAGAGAAATATTGAAAAATACGTATGCATGTACACGTCTTTTCATCTTATGCAACAAAAGCATTTTAAATGTATTTAATTACTTAAAATATAAACACTTTAAGTGAATAGTGTATCAAATTTGAATCATTTTAATAGCCTGCATTCCAAATGAAGAGTTTTCCTGATGAACACGAATGGCTTACTTGCCCTAAAGAACAAAAAAAAAAAACCCACCCATCTGTAACAACAACAACAACATTTTATGAGAACATACATACCCTCGCCGTTGTTTCCAGTAAACATAGAAGGACAAAGGTTCATTTGACTTCACCTTTATTTACCCAGGGTGGAGAAATCCAACGTGCATTTAAAATGTTTCTCGGGAACGCTCTGCTCCTCGCTCACACTGATGCGCACTGTTGCAGCCGTGGTTTGGTCGTTTTTGAGCAAATACACAGAAATATTTCGAGGTTAGGTGTCTTTCTCTCTCTCAAGTAACCAGCATCCGACTTCAAAACAGGCCGCTGTAAGACTTTTTTACTTCCTCTGCTGTGCTTTCAAAAAAGACGAATAAAAATCTGAAGTTTCACATTAGTGGAAGTGGAATTGTTCCTTACAGAAAATTAAAATCAGACAGTTTGGTTTACTGATATTGTCAGTGACATGCGTTGGTGCTGTGTGTGTGAAGTAAGAGGTTTCTGATATTCACAGTAGTAACTTAAAGGTGCTGTGAAATGCTTTAAATTCATAGTGAAAAGCTTGCCAGTGGCAGTGCACTGAAACTGACAGAGGCCCGTTTCAGCCCCAGCAACACAGACAAAGTCCAAGTGAGACAAAACCATCAAAGTCACGAGAATGTGTCACAAAAAACGTGAAAGTATATTCAAATTACACAATAAAACTTTCTGACACTGTGTCATGATTACACACTTCCACTGTAATATGTAAACATTTGTTTAAAGGAACAATTCACCCCAAATCACATGAACTTATGTACCAAGCAAAGCAAGCAGCTAGCTACAGTATCATTACTCCAGACAAACACCGGGTGAGTTTCATGTGTTATTCTTTGTACGGGTTTGAATACAGGAGCATTTCAGAGGCAGTGTCTAGTCTGTACGGGACTTTTTGGGGTGGGGAAATTAACGTTCTTCTATCTAACATCCTGCCCCTCCTCTTCTGCTCTGTGCAGTGTGAAGAAGAGCTGCTGCATCAATAAACAGTGTGGCTCCAACTCAACGATGCAGATTTGAGTAAAAGGCAAATAAAAACTGAAGCACAAACTTTTGTTGGACGGCCGATACCACTTAGTAGATTATTATCAGATAATTGCTTTAAAAACGCTCTAAAAGCACAAATATAGTCTCGAGGTCCAGTTCAGCGACTCCAATTAGCCGAGGTGAGGCCTCGCAGACAGCTGCACATGTTGGCACGTCTGTGAGTCCAAACAGCCACGCCAACTTTAAGCCTTGGCAAACACCCAGACAAGCGAGTTATGCAAAATTTTACACCGAATGTATGAAAGTGACTTTTGGGTGAAGTGTCCCTTTAAAACCCTGATTTGGCTGTGTGGAGTGAATTAAGGGTGTAAACGTACACTGAAACCTGTAAATCTATATATTTACTCAAGTCTCTTATTGTAATTGATCTGCTACATTTACAGTGTCAAAACAAATCTCACTGCCACTCGGTGTCGGGCCTTGTATGAGGACCTCTGTCAGTTTTCGGTTGACAAATCTGTAAAACAACAAACCAGCGTTCACCGACTCAGAGATCAGGGGTTAGAACCACCTGATGAATGGCCAGTTCACCCAAATCACGACAAAGATTTCATGATCTTAGTGGTATGATTTCAGATGTCTGCAGGCAGCATAAGTAACGTCTTTTTGTGATTTGAGTGGACTGACCCTTTAAATCTCGGTGAAAAGAGCCTCATGTGTCTGGACGGTCCAGCTGGAAACATCAGATCACGTTTGGCGGCGAATAAGCTGCATGTACGAACAAATAACGGTCACGTATCTCTGAAAGAGAAGTTTTTCACAATAACAGAACTTGAATATGTTAAAGTTGTGAAAACATGAAAGTAAAAAATAAGATTTATTAATTTTCAAGTCTTTGATGCAAATTTCAGCTGACACCTCAGATGCGACTGGACACGGTCCCCTCGCTCATCTTCAAAAAGAACGACTGCAGATTGCACAGCATGCACTTCTTCTTCTTCTTCTTCTTCATCTTGTTGTTACTTTTCTTGTAAACTCCCTGATATTTTCCCTCTTCGTCCTCCTCCTCCTCCACCCATGGCACCCACGCTCCCCTGTGCTGGCTCGGGTTGGCTCGGGGGTCGTCGGGTGGAAAGTAAACCGGTACGGCTGTTTGGTTGTAGTAGGCGAGCCGGGCCAGCAGCTGCTGGACTACATCTGGCCTCTGGTCTGCCAGGTCGTGCCGCTCGTACGGGTCGCCCGTGATGTTGAACAGCCAGATGTTTTTGTGGACGGAGGATTTCTGGTAAAGTATCGAGCGTTCGAGGTTCCACCAGCGACCGGGTAGAGAGGTGGGAAGCATCTGAGGATCAATGTTTCAAATATTTGTTATAACAATCAATGTGAAACAGAAAAGTAGAATGAAGCTCTCTGAAGCATGCAGCAGTACCTGTGGGGGGACCCAATCTCCGTGGCCTGGATCACCTGTCAGTAGCTTCCAATCTCCAACTCTGATGGCAGCCTGGACTGAAGTGTCCCACACCGGCTGTAGTGACTCCAGCCCGAACTGGAGGGTTGGATGGGATTTGATCAGTGGTATTCCAGGTTGGGATCTGTTCTGGTATGGGAAAAATGTCCGCTTGGACTTTGATTTTGAATGTAGTTTGAGCGTCTTGGATTTTGGCCGGCTTGATTGTGACAAGTTCTGGTTCTGGGACGTGGTCCTCCTGAATTTTGTTTTCAAACGGGTTTGGATCGGAGGCGGAGATTTAGGACGGGATGTTCCAGACCCTGACGAAGTGCCACCGATCTTTGGATGCGGTCTGTGATTGGGCAGAGGCCGGTCCCAAGTGTGGGCTTTGGTCTTCTTAGCTTTAGGTGGGGGTTTTGATTTTAGGCGAGGCTTGAGCTTCTTTTTGAAGAGGGGCTTAGATTTAGGCTTAGAGGCATGATGGGAAAATGTTTGAGGTTTCTTGGTGGTCTTTGTTTTGAAGGCTAACTTTTGTTTTGGTGGCTTCTTCAGAACCTTCTTCTTCTTCTTC